AAGTGAAGCACGTTTAAAAACGGTGCACCAGAATATAATATTAATAATAATGTTTAAGTCAATACAATTGTTAAAATACATTACACTCTCTTTAACAACAAATCCCTCCTGGCAGCCAGAGGCTGAATTGCATGGGAGCTGTTTACACAAGAGTTTACTAACAATAAAAAACGTCATATCTCTATATCAAACATATCTATAAACATTTCATGGACAGGGTATATTTAAAAAAAAAATTAACAACCACTAAATTAAAACGGTTAGAATAATCAGGTCAGACGTTATTACAAGTTTAGGACAGTACCATGTGTAGTATTGCACTTGAGCGATATCTCTCAGTCCTACAGTAAATACTGTTCAGTTTTTTTAGTGGGAAATTTGTGCAAATGTGAAAGAAAATTTGTGTCAATGTTAAGGGCACTTTGTATAAATGTTAAGGCAAAAGCACAACAAGTCCAAATCCAGGACGTCTTATGTAGAGGCTGAAACTCCTCCATTACTACAAATGTCATGATTAAATTTAGGATGTGTTCAAGGACTTGAACAAAAGGTTGCTTGGCGTTAAATGTAGTTAACGCAAATATGCTGCCCCCTCTGTGAGTAAATTTTTTTCTAGTAAACAGAGTACTAATGAACTATTGTTACTACACGACACTAAAGGAGCTGTCGAAATTACCTCCCTTGTGTTTGTGTAATACAATTATGACAGATATGATGTAATTTTTTTTTTTTTACGCTGAAGGCCAGATCGCCAGAAGGTTCTGTGGGGCTCGGTCGGCGCTCTGTCCACGCTGAGAGGAACTCGCTCAAAGGGTAGGTCCTGGCAACTTGTGATATTTTATCTTTAAATGTAGGATATCCCTACGGAATTCAATATTGATTTAATGAAATATGAATGCCTAGAACACATAACGACGTGGCAACCTATGAAAAGTTTTCTTAAAAAGGTATGGTATCTTTATATCCTTTTTTATGATTCTGTATGTTGGAGACTTGTCAACAAAATTATTAAAACACTTCCTTGACATTGTTTCTTCATCTTAGACGAACACCGTTCAACATGGGAGCCTGGACTTACAGCAAAGTCTTCCTTCTCCTGTACATGACCACGATGTGGCAAAGTACCCCTGTGTACGGCCTCACTACGCAGGAAGCGGACCAGCTGAAAAGTCAGTATAATAAGTAATTATCCTCCTGATTGTTTTCATTTTTTTTTATTCCAACATTTCATGACCAAACGTGGCGACGGCACACTCAAGTTATATCAACTTATCTTATGCCGCCACCAACACAGAGTACGATTACAGGACAGGGCAATACTCATTTCCACTTGAGTTAAGGGCAAAAGATCGGTGGCATGTCAGGACTCGAACCCGGGACCTCTAGGTTCCGAGTCAAGCACTCTGCCGCTACGCCACACGACCCCATTGTTTTTACTTTCTTCTGAAAGCAGCGCAATATCTTTGAGTAGGTTCTAACTTTACGACCCTCGGCAAAGAGGCAAAAGTGATTAAAAAAATGTGACGGAATCATTGAATGTCTTCTTTACATTAAGGTTATAACTTAACGACATTTACTATGAAGGCTTGAACAATTTCTGGCCTAAGGAAGGGGGATCATAGGACTTTTTTTCTTATAATAAGAAAATTATAGGTTTACATGTACATCATTCGCTAAGAAAGCTTACTTGTATCGGATTTTTTTTACAATGTACGTGTTTTCATGTACGATGTTCACTAGGTCTACTGTCAGAGGTGACGGCGAAGGTTGAAGAGGCGAGAGTGGAGGTGAGAAACACCCGGCTCTACTCCCTGGGACAGAGACTCGTCTTCACCACTGCCCCCGAGCATGGTAAGATTCTTAACGTCATTTCCCCTTTTATAGACATTTGTTTAGAGATTTTTGTGTTGATTTATTAAAACATATCCACTTTTAAATTGGCTAAGTATTGTTTCTGTGGTGTCAACACACAGGTAAGGCATAGGAAAACCATGTTATGTCCCAGCTTCCTGAAAAAAACATTGATTAGTTGGTAGGCTAGGATTCTCTTTTTCTTTTTTTCTTTTTAGATTAAGACAGGTGATCCAACAAATACATGTTAATGTAAAAAATAAATTACTCGTACCTTAGGATCAGGGTTGTCTATAACAGCCATCCCGCCGTTTTCTTGTGAGTAAGGGGCAAATATTTCACCCAAGTTACTCACCTGACATTAATACACAAACGTTGACACAGAAACAGCCTTCACCTGCGAGAGGGGCACCCTACAGCTGTCTTGCTCGGACAGAAAGACGCTGTTGATCGTGGAGGCGAACTATGGCAGGACGACCGCCTCCCACTCCTGTGCCTGCTCCACCTGTCGTACCAACTGCCGCGCGGCCACAAGCCTGGCCGTGGTCAGGGCCACCTGTCAGGGCAAGCGGCAGTGCTCAGTGACAGCGAGTTCCAGTGTTTTCGGTGGAGACCCTTGTTACGGAGTGCAGAAGTACTTGGAGGTATCATACCGCTGTATCACAGGTGAGCTCACGGTTTTATTAGAATATTCCGCCTTTTCCTCAAATAATTCCCCTTTAAACTAGACAGTGATCCCTGAGTGACCATTTAATAAACAAATTTGGATTAGAGATGTACACGTTCAAGGTTCAAGGTTGGATTTGTGGGATTCTTGGCTTTATAATTGGTATATAAATACCACCAGGTAAATGCGTGACTTAGAGTACACAAAAACAATTATTTCCATGTTGAACCCCCCCCCCCCCCAATCCAAAGCCACTTATTCCCAGCCTACAAAGAGACCATCCTGATCTCCAATTCAACCTTCTGTCAGTTTCGTTAACACCATGCCCCACTTATATTTATTACTTGATTATTAAAAAAATTGGATACAGAGGTAAAAATTCAGGCGCCCTTATTTTTCGCTTGTGTTTCCCTGCAGAAAGCAACGTCGCTCTTCGCAAGACGGCAAGTTGTAGTTCTGCTCCATCACACTGGGGACCTGAGAAGGCTGTAGACGGTTCCAGGGGTACGAGGGTAACCTGGTACAATCAGTGCACTCACACTAACCGCGTGTACCAGCCGTGGTGGAAGGTGGACTTAGGAGGCACCTACCCAGTCAACCGGGTCAGCGTCCTGAACAGGGGCGACTGTTGTGGTAAGTACAAGTTTCTCTATAATGTCTTGAACAGGAAAAGGAACCATGGTTCTGGCACATGTTTTATGTATAACATCACAAATTTAGCGGGACGCGCATCCAGGCGCGCGGAGTTATTCGCGCTCACTTCCCGATCGTATGCGCCGTGCCTTTCCGTTTCCGTTACCAGTGCGCCCACTTCGGCATCGAATGTGATTTGCCACACGAAACATCCGTCAGCCAAATCACGAAATCGCCAGGGCACGTAACCAGGGTCGCGGGGCCAAGTTAGCTTACAACCCGACTGTGAGCGACATTTCTACCTGGCATTAGTGTACTACTACGGCAGTTTACGGTGGGGCTTAAAATACACCCTTGCCGGACACCGATTTTAAGAGGAAAAGTTTCGCTTAGGCCATTCCTAGTTTTGACACTGGCTTCGGACTGGTTGTCTAAGGGTTTGATTATGTCGAAGAGTTTGCCTGAAATGCCGTTTGAGAGAAGTTTAAATAGCAGTCTCTAATGCCAAATGTAGTCAAAGGCTTTTGATAGGTCGACAAAACAAGCGAATAAGCGTTTCCAAACCGCGTGTGTCTAGAGTTTTCAATATGACGATGTTATGTGATATCCTGTAGTTTTTTTTTTTTTTGAATCCTGTTTGTTTTGATTTCATGATTTTATTTTCTTCAAAGAAGGTTGACAGTCTTTAGTTTAGCATTGAGGAGAAAAGCTTTCCTAAGCAGCTGATAATGGCCATCCCACGATAATTATATGGGTAATTTTTTTCGCCCATTAAAATGGGGACAATATAACTTTCTTAATAGAGGGGTCAGTAAAATTCGTTTTCCTGCTTTAAGTATTTCGTTGATGACCATGTCCCCTACGCTGGCTTTTTTTGTGTTATTGTTGTTTTTAATGGTGTGTATTGCGTCGATGATTTCAGACACCGTAATTGGGTTATCTAGAGGCCTGGGATTGACTTACATTTCTGGAGTACTTGGAGTTTGCGTAGAATGTTTTTAGTAGTAACTTTTTCATAGTTAAAGTCAAAGATTTTTTCTGTTTTAGTCTGCATTCGTTGTGGATGTTTTTAAAGTGCTCAACCCAAGTGTCCGCTGGTAGATCTTCTTGGTGTACTGAGTCGGTATTTTTTAATTCTTTAAAGTACGTTCCAGAAGGCGGTGGCGTTGTTTTCTTAAAGATTCTGAAGGCGCATTAGACAGTTATTTTAAACAGTTTACTGGACATTACATGTCCGCTATCATTTTTTTGTGGACATGTAACATGTAGCGAAGCTACCGTCGTATCCTTTGGTGACCTTGAATACTGTAATGATTCTTTACACCAGTATGAATAACACAATGCAGACTTTTGGTCGACATGACATGTCTGCAAAACTCGTTTAAACCTGCAAGCATGGAGAGTCAAACATACCCCATTCACGGCTCAAAATGACCGTTACGGCTGTCCCAAAAATCTTGTTTTAGGGATTTTTGAAAAATGGCCTTAATTTTGAATAATGGGTAATTTACTGCGAAAAATGTAAAAAAAAAAATTCAATTTTTTCACCAACATATCGACAAAAGCTAGACTTAAAATCAGAAATTAAAAAAATCCCTAAAACACGATTTTTGATTTTATTCCCAGTCGTTGAAAAATATAAAAATCGGGGATCTGGGGTAATATACGTAGCCAGGTATAAACGATGTTTGCCTAAAACATGACATGACTTGTGGTCGAAAACCCAAAAAAAATCGTCTTTCAGAGAGAAATTTTGCAAAACAATTGATTTAACATAAACAGCTAATACTAAAAGAACGTTAAAGCAATAATTTCATTTCAATTTGACGAAATTTACTATTGAATCATTTTTGTTTATTTTCAAGTGTTTTACGGGTAGTCCAAAACAGGCCAAAATAGCGTCTTGTAACCGGATACTTTTTAGAACGCGCCTAGCAATGGGAAAGAATGCCGTAGTGACCGCCGTGAATGTGACCTCAGCATAACAAAGGCTTTCTAACTACCCGTAGATGCTGTGGTTGTGTAGTTGCCGTGTATCGGCTTGACGTGGCGAGGCTAGCGGGTCGGACCGTTTTTTTTTTACGGTCCGACTTCGTTTCTGTCCCGATAGGCCAGTAAAGTTCAACGGCTTGGGGAAAGGTATGCTGTAAGAAAGGTTTCCTAAATACCCGTAGTTGTATCCTGTCAGGAATAAGTGGTGTAAGTTCGATCCCCCCAGCGGCTTGTTCTGGAACTGCAGGTTAGTTTTTGGTAAAAACTTTTAAAGCCAATAAGTCCAGATAGCATCATCATATTTTTATCATTGTATGTAGGTAGCTGAGAAAGAGTTGTACACAATTAAATGCAAATTATGCAAATGAGGACTTAATGTACATGATTAATGAGAAAATTCTAAAATTACAGTGTTTTATATATATAATAGTACTGCTATACATGTAGCCTAACGAGTAGTAAGAAGGCCTATTCATGTCGACTGGGCCTACGTGAATAGGCCCGTATATACATGTATGCACTGACCTGCTCGCTAACCTTTCTGATTTATGAAACAAAAAGATATTCAAGAATGACTATCCGCACAAGCAAATGATACTTTTATTCACTTGTACATTGTAGAATACAAAAAGTATTCCGATAGAAGTCGCCATAAACGCTGCATACTAAACTACCGTAAATTACGTTTGTAAACCTGTATTGTCTTGTACATATATAGGAGATCGACTGAGAAACTTTATGGTGAGAGTTGGCCCGAATGAGGACTTCACCCGGAATGACCAGTGTGGGGAGACTTACACGGCCACTCCGCGGAATGGAGCGACAGTCGTGGTGTACTGCGACCAGCCGATGACCGGCCGTTTCGTCTCCATTCAGCTGATCGGACGGGCGGACAACCTCCAACTCTGCGAGGTGGATGTCTTCGCTGAAACGGGTGAGAAAGAAACCGAGATTTTTTTATGATTCTTACCTTAAATTTCTTTCTTGGTCTTGGTCCTCTCTGTGTGACTTACATACCGTGCATGGGTTTTCATCGGTAAACTAATACAACTAAAACAAGGAGAAGTCGTAGACATCATCCCTCCATGAAATAGCTTGTTATTTTGTAATCTTTTGGTGTATTTCAATAGAGATATTATGAGTCAAACTTTGTTTTTATCAGCAGAATGATTTGTGGTGGCACTTTGTACTGGAAGGGGTTGCCTATATTTATCAAGCTGTCATGTGCAAGCGTTGAGTGTCTTGTTACCATGGTTTGTTTACTTTGATGGCCTGCAGGTCATTTGCCTGTACATGTAGGTCAATGACCAGACAGGCAAATGACCTGCAGACCAGACAAACAAGATTTATTACCTCGGTCCTGACATCAACAGCCTCAGGAATTTCAATGATACACAAAATTTCACCTTCAAATTACCCACCATCTGCAGACACAAATTTGAACAACTGACTAAACATGTACATCACAGACCCTACTTTGGATCAATAAACTATCATTAACAGCACTAACAGACAATCAATCAACCAACCAACCATATTGAGGTGAGGTCAATGACCTCTCAAGCACACATAAACAAATTCAACCCATTCAATGACCCAAACACAACCAGACGATATTTTCTGCAGACTCTGTCTAGGGTAAAAATAGATTGGATGCCTGGGCCTGACCTGCCAGCTGGAGGTATAAACAAAAACACTCCGTCCAAAGTTTGGGGTCAAACAGACCATCCTATTATGAAATAGGGGTGAAAAATGTGAAAAATCCTTTTAAATTAAGCAATACAAATATACGACAACCTGCTAATGCACTCCAAAACACAAAGAGACTCAACAACTACCCGCATACCAAATATCATACCCAACCATCCACCAGATTTTCCAAACATTCAACACAAAAAGTCCAACGTTAAACATTTTGTAAATATCAAACGCAAACAGCTAGGGGACTCAAATTTAAACCACTAAACCATGGTAATAACAACAACCTGCTACCTTAATATCGCACAAACAGTCCATAACGCGACAACAATAGAATAAGAAAATTAAACTGCAGTACCAAGGTCAATCACCAGGGGCTCAAAGTCAACCTACAATCTCCAAGGCCCCATCCATCAATCTGCCAAATATCATACAGTTCCTTCTCACCGATCTTCAGATATCAGACCAAAC